TGGCAGGAGCTGACTGTGCCTGAACGACAGTGGCCAAGTTGGACAACTTGGATGTCGCAGCTGACATCCAGTTGTTCAAACTAGCTAAAGACTGAGCGAGCTGGTGGGCATTGAACCGGTGAGTCTTCGATGAACGGACAACCGGGTCCGCTGAAGTAGATGTACCAGCAAAAGAAGAAGGACTCGGGGGCAATGTCTCACCGGTAGCAGGGATGGTGGAAGGCTCAGTGCAATGCTCAATAACCGCTGGCTCCTCAGACTGGCCAGGTGCGGTGGAAGTGGATGTCTGATTCTTTTTGGACCTCTTTGGGTTGTCGGGACCCAACTGACTGTACCATGAGTAGGGGGCTACTGGATCTACCTTGACATCAAACCGCTTTTTCTTCACCTCCAATTCTCTAAAGTACAGGGAAAGAGTGTTCGGGAAGGGATAGTTTGTGTTGGTCTCCTGTCCGACCGTAGAAATCACCCTTGACATAATGTTGCCCTCATTGAGAGGAAACCCGGCCATAATAGATGCCACTAGAACAGCACGAGCAATAGGAACTGTGTGATCATGGGTGGTGGGATCAAGCCTACTACACACGAAAGTCAACCAACCCTTGGCTTCAAAACTGAACGTGTTTCTCAGAATCTTCTCCCCTGCTTTCAACCAGACTGGGACAATGTCCGGGGCTGCCAAGTGCTGGGCCAACCAAGGACGAACCTCTTCTTTCATTGCCAGTTTTTCTAAGTATTGGGTTTCGTCCTCTTCGTTGAACCCCAAAAATTCATTCAGTGACTTCCCATCAAACATCACCACTTTATCCCGCACTTTTGTCGCTTTTGAGTCCTTCACCACATGATGAACACTACAGTAAAAAATTTTCACCATATGTTCATTGGCTACTATACAACGTTCCTTGAAGAAACCCCAACCCTCTCTAGTACGGAATTGTGCTTGCACATGTGGGTTGAGAGGAACAAGATCAAAGTCAATAAATTGCCTCTCCGGAATCAATTTTCTTTTGGGCCACCACTCTCTAAATCTGTAGAAGGCTATTTTACTTACGAATCTATCAGCCCAGGCTTCCGGTTTTCTTCTATCAACACCACCAACTTGGGGCTCACCCCCCTCACCATATCCCCCGCTCTCCCTGGATAATGAAGCTGTGGGGGAGGTGGAGTATTGTTCTGCACTTTTAGCTACGGACTCATCAGACAAGTCCGAAACTACATTTACTGGTCTTTTGGAGGTGGGTGAAGGTGATGGGGAGTCATGAAATTGGAGCGGGAGAGACATGTGAATTGGAGCGGACTCTGAAGTGATGCTCCTTGATGGTGCATACTCATTCCCCGAAGAGTGGGAGGCAGCTCTATCAGCTTCCCGTATTATCTTACGGGTCTTTTTGATATTCTCCCGAGCCTGGGGAGTGAGTTTAACAATCCGCTTCCCTTTTCCCCCTCGGGAGGAACCACCCCTCCTGGGTTGTTGTTGTTCTTTTCTGCCTCGTTTCTTAACCATGATCAGCGCGGCCGCGCAGAAATGGCCACGGACCGCATAAAAACGTCACGCGGACCGCGCAGCTAACTTCAGAGACCCAGCTCCCCATTGCACCAGCCTACACGAACCGCACTGTTTTGGTGCGCGGCCGCGTAGGCAAACTTCAGAGACCTGGTATTTTTTTACTTTTGTCCTGCACTAGTTCAACATTATCCCTGCAACATCTCACAAACCATGAGTTTAAAAATCCTAATCTACAATAGAAAACAAAAAGAAAGAAAAAGACATGGGTTGCCTCCCAAGAAGCGCCTGATTTAACGTCGCGGCACGACGCATGCTACCATCATATCACTTCAAATGAATAAGTGCCACCACATGGCTGTAATCAATCTTTCCCAAATAGTGTTTGACACGATGCCCATTTACCCTGAACACTTCACCATTCTTGTTTTTAAGATCAAGAGCACCAAAGGGAGTTACAAATACCACTTCAAAGGGACCACTCCATTTAGATTTGAGCTTCCCCGGAAATAACCTTAACCGGAAATTGAAAAGAAGAACCATGTCGCCCACCTTGAATTCTTTACCCCGAGCATACTTATCGTGGAGGTACTTCATCTTGTCCTTATACAAGGACGAGCTGGAGTAAGCATGGAATCTAAATTCATCAAGTTCATTCAATTGCTCCACTCGGAGGTTGGCCGCAACATCCCATTCCAAGTTCAATTTTTTCAATGCCCATATGGCCTTATGTTCTAGTTCCACCGGGAGATGACAAGCCTTACCAAACACCAACCGATATGGAGACATACCAATCGGAGTCTTGTAAGCCGTCCGATAAGCCCAAAGAGCGTCATCCAACTTCTTTAACCAATCAGTCCTATTTGCATTCACTGTTTTGGACAAAATACTCTTAATTTCCCAATTTGAAACCTCCACTTGGCCGCTTGCTTGTGGATGGTAGGGGGTAGTCACCTTGTGGTTAACTCCATATTTAGCGAGCAAAGAGTCAAAGGCCTTGTTGCAAAAATGGGACCCCCCATCACTAATGATAGCACGAGGGGTTCCAAACCTAGTGAAGATATTCCTTTTCAAAAATGCCATGACACTCCGGGCTTCATAGTTGGGAAGAGCCACGGCTTCAACCCACTTTGACACATAATCCACCGCCACGAGAATATACGTGTTCCCACAAGAGCTTACAAACGGGCCCATGAAATCAATGCTCCAAACATCAAAAATATCTACCTCGAGAATTGTATGGAGAGGCATCTCATCCCTTTTTGAAATCCCGCCAGCTCTTTGGCATGCATCACATTTCTTCACCAAATTGCTTGCATCTTGAAACAAAGTCGGCCAATAGAAGCCGCAACTTAAAACCTTTGACGCCGTCCTCACTCCCCCATGATGACCACCATAAGGAGAAGAGTGGCAAGCCTCCAATATGTTCAATTGTTCTTCTTCCGGGACACATCGGCGAATCACACCATCGGTGCAAATTTTAAACAAGTAGGGCTCATCCCAATAGTAATCCAAACTATCCCGCTTGAGCTTCTTCCTTTGGTTAGAAGAGACTCATACGGGACTATACCGGTCACAAGATAATTGGCCACATCGGCAAACCATGACATATCATGCATAGACACCGCAAGGAGTTGTTCATCCGGGAAAGCATCATTTATCTCAAGGCCGTCGGAAGGCCTCCCCTCTTCCTCCAAGCGGGACAAGTGGTCCGCCACTTGATTTTCACTTCCTTTTCGATCCACAATTTCTAGATCAAATTCCTGAAGAAGTAGCACCCATCTCATCAACCTCGCCTTTGAATCTTTCTTGCTCATCAAATACCTAAGGGCGGCATGATCGGTATGGATAATTACCTTGGCCCCCATAAGGTATGGTCGGAACTTTTCCATGGCGAACACAATAGCTAGCAACTCCTTCTCGGTGACCGTATAGTTTCTTTGAGCTTCATTCATCGTCTTGCTTGAGTAGTACACCGGATGGAACATTTTGTTGATTCTTTGGCCAAGCACTGCACCTACCGCGACATCACTCGCGTCACACATAAGTTCAAAAGGCAATTCCCAGTTTGGTGCGGTGATAATGAGAGTTGTGGTCAAGTTATGTTTCAACAATTCAAAGGACTCCATACACCTCTCATCAAAGACGAACTTCACATCCTTTTCCAACAGTTTACAAAGCGGGTTCACAACTTTTGAAAAATCCTTAATGAATCGCCGGTAAAACCCGGCGTGACCCAAAAAACTCCTCACCCCTTTGACAGAAGTAGGGGGAGGGAGCCTTGAGATGACCTCTATTTTCGCCTTATCGACTTCAATACCATGCCTTGAGATTTTGTGCCCCAATACAATACCCTCTTGCACCATGAAGTGACATTTCTCCAAGTTTAGTACAAGATTGGTTTCCTCACATCTTTTCAACACCTTGTCCAAGTTCACTAGGCATTCTTCAAATGAGTCCCCCACCATACTAAAATCGTCCATGAAGACCTCCAGAATATCCTCCACCATGTCGGTGAAGATTGCCATCATACATCTTTGAAAGGTCGCCGGAGCATTACAAAGTCCAAATGGCATTCTTGAGAAAGCGAAAATGCCATACGGACATGTAAAGGTTGTCTTTTCCTGATCCTCCGAGGCAATGAGAATTTGATTGTACCCCGAGTAGCCATCAAGGAAACAATAATAAGCCCAGCCCGCTAAACGATCAAGCATTTGGTCCAAGAATGGCAGAGGGAAATGATCTTTTCTAGTGACCTTGTTGAGCTTTCTATAATCCATGCACACCCTCCAACCCGTGACCGTACGGGTAGGAATCAATTCATTATTGGCATTAGTGACGACCGTCATACCCCCTTCTTTGGCACACATTGGACCGGGGAGGTCCATGAACTATCCGATATTGGGTAGACTACACCGGCGTCCAACCACTTGATAACCTCTTTCTTGACCACCTCTTGCATAGCTTCATTTAGTCTTCTTTGGTGTTCAAGAGACGGCCTTGCATCTTCCTCTAAAATGATCTTATGCATGCAAAAAGCGGGGCTTATACCCCGAATATCCGCCAACGTCCATCCAATCGCCCGATTGCGCTTTTGTAGCACCGCCAAAGTGGCGTCAACCTGCAAGTTAGTTAAGCAAGACGAAAAAATAACAGGCAAAGTGAAATTAGGACCCAAGTATTCAAACCTGAGGTGAGGAGGAAGTGATTTCAACTCCAACACCGGCGGCTCCTCAATAGATGGCTTTGTTGGGGGAGTTTTACGATTCTCAAGGTCCAATGATAACTTCCTAGGCTCATAAGAGTATGAGCCCATACCATGCAAAGCATTTACACATTCAATTCTCCCGGCATCATCATTAGCCTCCATGTTCAAAAGCACCGCTTCAAGTGGATCTTCAACATTGATCATTGCGCTTGTGTCATCCACTATCACCGCCGTGACAATGTCAACAAACGAGCACACCTCGGTGCTATTTGGTTGCCTCATAGACTTTCACACATGGAACACCACCTTTTCATCACCAACTCGGAAAGTCAACTCTCCCGCCTCGACATCAACGAAAGCCTTCCCCGTTGCTAGGAAAGGTCTTCCAAGGATAATTGGGACTTCAAAGTCCACCTCACAATATAGTATCACGAAGTCGGCCGGCAAGATGAACTTATCAACATGAACAAGGACATCATCGATTATACCCAAAGGCCGCTTCATTGACCTATCCGCCATTTGGAGCATCATTGAAGTCGGGCGAGGTTGCCCGATTCCTAAAGTTTTGGAAACCGAATATGGCATTAAGTTAATACTCGCCCCCAAGTCACAAAGGGCTTTTGCAAAGTCGGCGCTTCCAATAGTGCATGGGATAGTGAATGCACCGGGGTCCTCAAATTTAGGAGCCATGGAGTGTACAATTGTGCTCACTTGATGGGTCGTCTTGATTGTCTCACACTCCATTGATCTCTTCTTTGTAACCAAATCCTTCATGAATTTCGCATACCTCGGCATTTGCTCGAGTGCCTCCACCAAAGGCACATTGATAGTCAAACTCTTCATCATCTCAATGAATTTCTTAAATTGGTTATCACCCTTTTGCTTGGCCAAACGTTGAGGGTAGGGCGGAGGAGGCCTAGGCAAGGGTGCCTTGGCTTTGGGCACCTCCGGCTCGGGCATATCTATCACATGTTCCCTAGACGGGTTCACGTTCTCTTGTGTCTCCTCCTCAACCTCATGAATGTCAATTCGCACATCATTTCTCACACTTGGTTCCACTACATCCTCAACCACCGTAGGCATATCATCATCACGCAACTCATCTTCATCCATCATGACATGATTCTCTCTTGAGGCATGCACATCACTGCCTCGTCCACTTCGCGTGGTCACCACCATCACATGGTTGTTGTGCCCACCCTTAGAGTTTACTACCGTGTCACTTGGTAGAGCACCCTTTGGGCGAGTATTTAAGGATTGTGAAATTTGACAAAGTTGCACCTCCAAGTTACGGATGGAAGTGTTGTGTGAAGCCAATTGCGCATCGGAGTCTTGGTTCTTCTTCATCATTTGTTCAAACATAACCTCAATTCTCCCAAATTCGTTGCCCGAAGAACTAGACCCTTGAGATTGAAACGGTGGAGGGTTGTTCGGTTGTTGAAACATCGGAGGCCTTTGAAAGCCTTGCCCCCGATTACCTTGACCACCATTGTTGTTCCACCCCCCTAGACCATTGTTATTATTCAAATTGTTGTTGTTGTTTCCATTCTAATTTCCACCATTGTTACCTTGATCCCCCAATTGTTTTTTTGGTTATTTCCATTCCAATTTCCACCGCCTTGTTGTTGATTATTGTTATTCCAATTTCCACCTCCTTGTTGGTTACCCTAATTCCCTTGGGATCGCCATTGTTGATTGCCTTGGTTTCCTCTATTTCCTTGGTAGTTGTTAACATATTGACAATCCTCACTTTGTTCATCATAGCACTCGTTTGAATAACCACCACCATCATCATAGTTGTCACAATTTCCTTGAGGTCGTTGCCCCCTTTGCCTTCTTTTCATCGTATTTACTCCTTCCATGGCATTGACTTGGCGCGGGTTTTGAACTTGTTGCAATTGCGCCTTCGCCAATTGGTTCATTGTTGTTGTACGTTCGTCAATAGCTTGGCCGTGGTCATGCAACTCCTTATGCAAATGTATGACATTAGGATCACCTTGAGGAACGTTTGCCCGGCTTTGCCATGCCGAAGAAGTATCGGCCATTTCATCTAACACATCACAAGCTTCATTGTACTGGAGCTTCATAAAATTTCCACCCGCCAATTGGTTCACAATACATTGGTTTGTTGTGTTGATTCCCCTATAGAACGTTTGTTGAATCATCACATCATTCATATCATTATTTGGACACTCTTTGACCATAGTTCTAAATCTCTCCCATATTTCATGCAAAGGTTCCGTTGGCTCTTGTTTGAAAGCCAAAATCTCATCACGAAGCGCCGCCATGTGACTTGGAGAAAAGAACTTGGCAATGAACTTATCCGCCAATTCATCCCACGTTGTGATGGAATGATTTCGAAGCCTTTCTAACCAATCCAGTGCCTTCCCCCGAAGAGAGAACGGGAAAAGCCTCAATCTCAAAACATCCTCGGACACATTGGTTTGTTTACTCTCCCAGCAAGTATCTACGAACCCCTTCAAGTGCTTGTATGCATTTTGGTCGGAGGCACTCGTAAAATACCCTATTTGCTCGAGAAGTGTCAAAATAACATTGGTGATTTGAAAATTCCCCGCCCGGATTCGGGGAGGAACTATGGCACTTGCATAACCCTGGTTCGGAAGGACCCTTGGAGCTACTCTTGGTTGAGGCGAAGGAGGGTCTGGGATTTGATCATTTGGATTTGCATTAGCATTTCTACCTCTCTGTGGTACTTGTGGTACCTGGAGCTCATCTTGCTCAACATCATCAACCTCCTCCCCTGCGACCACGTTGTCAAGAGGGACATTTCTGTTTAGAGCCATGTGTACCTGATGGATCGACACAAATAACGTTAGTAAAAAGAAGGAAAGAGAAGCAAAACACAAAACTAGCTACGCAAATAGTCAACACCGTAAGCTCCCCGGCAACGGTGCCAAAAAGTGATCCTGGCGGACTCAACCTTACACTATGGTAGGAGGAGTGGGCGCTAATACTTTTACCCAATAGCGGTATCGGGGTCAATTTCCACAGGGAGCTAGAAAGGGAGTTGTGTATTTGCTTAGACTAGGAATGCGTGTTTGCTTCTAATTGAACTTCAAACATTTTTGGGTTTTTGTTGTTAAATAACTACTATTTTTAACTACAAGCTAAGGCTAAATTATGCTAAGAGTTATATTCTAAAGTGTGATTAATATAGAGAAAAGCACTAGGGTTATGGCAATACCTAGGTGGTTAACTAATGGGTAAAAGCTTCCAACAATAGATTGACATATTTGGGATCAATGTTATAACCGTTGCACAATTGTACCCGCTCTCACACCTCTCGGTAGAGAGAGCGATTTTGCCCAATTGACTCTCTCGAGACCAATTGGGTAGGCCAATTAGACCAAGCAACTAGGGTTCAAGTAGGGTGATTACTCTCTCGAGGTTTAGCCCGTTAATTGGGACTACCATTTCTCATGGGTCCATCCCAGTTCCTTGTTGGGTTAATTTTGGGGGTTTCTCAAGAAGGGTCAAGACCCACTAAGCGAGAATCAATGTTTGCAACCACCAATCCTTAATTAAACCATAAAATTAACCCAAATAACAAACACCCAATATCAATCTATCATTAATAAGCAACACCCATCAATTACCCACACTAGGATTGAGCCACAACCCTAGCTAATGGGTTTAGCTAGACATAATAGAAACAGAAATTGAAGAAATAGTACATAAAATTGACATATTAATTAACTACAATGTTAATCTACAAGAATCCACGATAAAACAAGATGAGATTGCCCAAAATAGGCTAAAACTTGAGTCTCACGAGCGCAGCTCAATATCTGATACACAACTTAACCTAAAAATGGTAAAATATTCTATTTATACTAGGCTAGAAAAATTGGACAAAAATACCCCTACGCGAGTGGCGCGGACCGCGCAGAAATGCAGCGCGGCGGCGTAGGGGTCTTGGTCTTCAATTCTCTCTTCTGAAGCTGGGGGCGTGGACCGCGCAAAAAGGTAGCGCGGCCGCGCTGGCTGAATAGCGCGGAGCGCGCATAAATGGGGTGCGGCCGCGTGGAGAACTTGGCAAAAATATCGAGTCTCTGAACATCATCCACGCGGACCGCACTGTTTTGGTGCGCGGCCGCGTGGGTTTGCCTTTTCATTCTCTGGTCTCTGAACCTCCTCAGGCGCGGACCGCGTCAGGATGAGCGCGGACCGCGCATGTCACAACTGAAATGCCCAATCTCTGAACTTCCAGCGCGGCCGCGTGGCAAAGCAGTGTGGTCCGCGCTGGGTCTCTTTGTTCCCCACTTCACTTGACTTTCACACTTGGCAGATTTCACTCTGTTTCGAGCCGATCTTTGACATTTGTCATCTTGTCGTTCAAACCTGCAATCAAGCGCAACTTGTAAGCATTTTGGGACTAATTTATGGCAATTCACGCACAAAGCTTAGGCAAGAATAGGTATAAAACGTGTTAAAATCATAGTTATCAGCCGCCTCCAGAAATGTGATCTCACTCCCGGCCTCCTTGGCTATCTGAAGACAAATAGGCTGAATAAGGCCACCAATAAACCTCCTCACCCTCTCTTTCTTCGTGGGAAGTATGACAAGAGCATGGCGTGCTAGATCAATGAACCTGGTCTCATACTGAGTGACCGTAATGGAACCCTGGTGAAGGCGCTCAAACTGCCTCCGAAATGCCTCTCGCTGAGTCAGGGGAAGAAACTTCTCTAGAAACAACTCTGTGAACTGCCCCCAAGTCAATGAAGGAGAACCGACTAGTCTAGCTAGAAAAAAATCCCTCCACCAAGTCTTGGCGGATCCAGATAGACGAAAAGTAGCAAAATCAACTCCATTGGTCTCAACGATCCCCATGTTCAGAAGAACCTCATGACAACTATCCGGATAATCCTGGGATCCTCAGTAGATGTACCACTGAATGTAGAAGTGAAGAGCTTAGTGAACCTATCAAGTCTCCACAAAGCATCGGCGGACATATCCGCTCCATCGCCCGGCTGAACTGCCATAGCTGGCTGAACCACTGGAACCTGAACTTGGGGAGCTACTGGCTCCGGAGTGCGCTTAGCAGGAGTCTGAGTCCCTCCTCCATCCTGAGAAGTGGTTGGTGTTGCTGGAAGCAAGCCCGCTCAGGTGACACTCTCCATAATGCCTACCAATCGGACCAGAGCGTCCTGAAGAACGTGGGTAGCAATGAACCCTTCTGGGACCTGAGCTGGGCCCACCTGAACTGCTGGGGCTGGAACCTCTTCCCCAAAATCAACTTGAGGCTCTGCCACTAGTGCTGCTGCTCAGAGCTGAGCTCTGCCCCTACCTCGACCTCTAGTACGGCCTCGGCCTCGCCCTCTGCCCCTAGTGGAAGCAAGGGCCTCGAGCTGCTGAGCGGTAGATGAAGAAGCGCGTATTCTCGCCATCTGTGAAAGAATCAGAGTAGAAATTCATTTAGTATTGGAGGAACAAATCCGCACGACAGGAAAGAACAAAATATGAAATTCTTCCTAACTCTGTAGCCTCTGGGGGATAAATACAGACGTCTCCGTACCGATCCCTCAGACTCTACTAAGCTTGTCCATGAGTTGTGAGACCTATGTAACCTAGAGCTCTGATACCAACTTGTCACGGCCCGGATTTTCCACCCTCGGGAGTCGTGATGGCGCCTACTAATAGGAGCTAGGCAAGACAACTCTTATTTACCTTTTTCGTTGTCAAGATTCTTCTTTTAACAGTTTAACAATAATAATATAAATACAGTGGAATAAATTAAATTAGCGGAAGACTTAAGTTAATTAAACTGATGAGATACGGAAATTCAACATAAACCTCTACCCAAGAACTGGTGTCATATTACTCACGAACTACTAAGAATACTAAACACAACCGTTTGAAAGAAATATAATAATTGTTTTGTCTCGAATACATGAGATAACAGAATGGAAATAAGGATAGAGGAGACGCCAGGCCTGCGGACGCCTGCAAGGCTACCTCAGTGTCTCACTGGTCGAAATGCTAACACTCGCGCTACTGCTGCTGCTGCTGTCCGAAACCTGTATCTGTGCAAAAGAGCACAGAGTGTAGTATCGGCACAACCGACCCCATGTACTGGTAAGTGCCTGGCCTACCCCGGCGAAGTAGTGACAAGGCTAGGACCAGACACCCAATTAATCCTGTGCAGTTCAAAATACATA